TGCAATAAATCCCTACACTCACAAAAGAATAAGTGATATGCAATTCAATTTTTCTGGCCATTTAGCTTTTAGAGCTAATATAAGTATGAACTACTTATATAACTCAAAAATATTAACTTATCGAATTCACTTTTTAAAACTGTGAAAGGAATTTATTAAAAAAATAGGATTGTTCATTAAGATGCTGTATTTGCTTTAATGGAAGAAAATAGAAACAAGATGCACATATTTTGCAGCATATGACGCTAAACTACACATATTACAACTATAAGTCTGCCATTCAGAGCACATTGTAAAAATCTATAAACTACTTATCAAAAAGAAAAAGAAAAAGAAATCACCTATACCACAAACTATGTCTGTTGGCTTGAGGATAAAACACATCCAAAACAACCTAAATTTCCCAAAGTCAAATTCTGAATTTAACCCTGATTTTAACATTTATGTCATAGTCTATAAAAACTATTTGCAAAATGATGTGTTTAATTGACTGAAAAATAATTGTGCTGAGACTAAAAATGAGCCAGAGAACAGGAAATCTAACCTAAATATAAATGTTTCCACAGATACTTACCATAGCTTCCAACAAACATTTATTGCATAGGTGCTCAAATTAATGGAGAAATATATTTACTGAAAATAAGATCAATAGCTTGGAAAATGCTGAGAAAAAGCTGTAAGAGGAAACAAAAACACAAAGGTCCATCCTTTACATCATTTTTTTCTTCCTTCAGGAGATCTTGAAACTGTCTAAAGATCTGTCATGGTCTAACACTTTCATCCAAAATCTGTCACACTCCTGTTTCAGACGCATGAACAACATTATTTTACATCACAGTGGGAAAAAGAGTAAGCTAGTTAGAAAGCAGCACAGAAGGAAACACTCAGATCTGGAGGTATATGGAAATGAAGACAGCACCCGCCTGGGCATCAGTGAGGGAACATGCGGTAAGAGAACACGTGCTTCCAACGGCACCCTACCTTGTTCTTTTCTTGCAGTTCAGTTTGTGATATCTTGACATCAGGACCTTGAGAGTTGGCATTTAATCTATTTTTCCTATCCAGGAGCTCTTCCATTTCTTTCACCTGAATCTTTAGCCGTCTGTTTTCTCTCTCCAGTCCTTGTTTTTCTGTCTCAAGCATTTCTCTCTTGCCCCACTCCAACGTATTTTCAGCCTGCAATTTCTCTAGCTGAACACAGAAAACACAAAAAAGCAGCATGTAGAGTTTGCAATTTCAAAAGGTAAGGCCCATATGAAGAAAGGTTCATGGATATGTCCATTTATATAATTTTAAAAAGAAAATTCTGTTTGTTTGAAAACTTGAGAATAACACAAAAGTCCTAAGACCAGGCCATAACATAGATAAAATGACCTTTCCTCTTGGTTCATGTGACTTTATAACTATATGGGCTATACTGGTCAAGTACAGGTGCCAAGTAAAAAACTGCTGATATTTTGCCAAAAATCTTCGCTCTCAACTGATGAACACTGATTACTTAAGACACGAAATTATTTCTTAGGTAATTTTGATTGGATATAGGTCCATTTATTCATTCACTCATTCATTCACCTGGGAGAAGAATATATATGTATATCTTTCAAGTTCCAAGCACTATGCATCATGCTAAACACCGTGGGTAAAGAGAAGTGAATTTAAGGGACTGGCCAGTTAGCTCAGTTGGTTAGAGCACAGTATTACAACACCAAGGTCAGGGATTTGGTTCCCGGTACCAGCCATCAGCCAAAAAAAAAAAAAAAAGAGAGAGAGAGAGAGAAAGAAGTGAATGTAATAAAATATTATACATCTGTGATTGCTTTTTTGTTGTTGCTGACACATTAACATTATATAAAATTCAAATTTCAGTACCAGAAATAAAGTTTTATTGGAGCACAGCCATGTTCACTTGTTCACACATAGCCTTTGACTACTTTCACACACAATGGCAGAGTTGAACTGTTGAGACAGAGACCATATGGCCAGCAAAGTCCAAAATACTCACTCTCCAGCCCCTTTCAGAAAAAGTTTGCTGACCTCTGCCCTTGCCCCAGGGTTTTCAAGCAAGGCTACACGATGGATCTACTTGGGGAGATTTTTATAATAACCAGTGGACAGAAACTACCTCTAAAAGTTCTTACTTAGTTGATTTATGGTAATTTTAATGCCTCCCTTGGTTACTTTTTATTATTTTAACTTTTTCATATTCAGATATTAAAGAGGCAATATCAAATGTATTCATTTTCTGCGGTTTACTTATGTCTAAATGTTTTCATCTTGAGGATGACTTGTATTTTTCTTTCATGATTGTTTTTTCTTGTTCTGGATGTTGTGAGTAATAATGATTATTAGCTTTTTAATTCCAAATTCTGTTCCTGATGCTCTTTTAATCCTGACTTCACCATCTATCGCTGGATAAACTTAGTTGGGTAACTGCATCTCCCCAGTGTGGACAATTTATTCTTTAATCCGACAGGGTTTGTGAGAAGTGAAATTATTCAAATTGACTGTGGTAATATAATTTAAGAAAAATTATATATGTATTTCTCTCACATATTCTGGCATATGTACTTGTATATTCTAGTATCAAAGTAATTCACTGCATAAATCTGTATAGTGGAGCAACTCTTCACATTAGACAAACTATTAGAATCTAACCCTGGTTCCACCTCTTACTCATTGGCTGATTCTGGACAAGACACTTATTAATAAAAATATTTTATTTTTTGTTACTAAGTTTTCTTAATAGCAAAATTAGCATGAGAAATATTAGCCTCACCAAATTTGTGGCACTGTAAGGATTGAATGAGATCAACTATTCAAAATGCTTTGTAAACTATGTAAGATAATTAAACTATGAGGCATTTTAAAAATATTTGTTAAGGATAAAGATTATAAACTACTTGTGTTTACACTGTTAGTTTTAAATGGCTTGATTGCAATGTACTGTATAAAGTATGTTTCCATGACATTTTAAATTCAAAAGACCAATCAACTTAGTCAACATTAAGAAAAATGTTACACCTCAATAATATCGATTGAAATAAATTTTGATATAAAAGTTTAAAAGCTGCTTTTTCATATACATGTAATTGTACCATTATTGTAGAAAATGTTCTTTTCCCAAATCTAAGAGATGCTCTTGCTTCTGAAAAACAGGAAACAAAAATGACTTTCTTGGCAATAGACCTCATTTACCATTAAGTATAATAAACTAAGGAATCAAATTTTAGCTGCTGTGGTTTGACATTTAGGGTGCCTGTTTACGTATATGAGGTGAAAATAGTATTTCGCGATACAATTTAAAACATGACATTATTAAGATTTATGCTTAAACTTTCTATCATTACATCACTTAGGATGAAAATAATAAAACTGCAAAAAATGTCAGCAACTTGGTGATGAAAAATTAATTTCAGGAGAGTAAATGTATTTTTGGACAAGGACAAACACGATGTTATATCAATGATTTGTAAAATTGCAGTCACTCAAAATAAATTGCTAAGATCAATAAATTGATTCAACACCTAATAACATAACAGGTGGGACTCAAGTTTTAAATAAGTAATAGATGGTCTAAATAAATAAACCCTAAATCTTAAAAAAAATTCAAAGAGATATGATTTTAAGACTAGTAACCACAAAATTTAAATAATGGCACCTGATTATTTACTATTTGTAGATTTATTAAGACAAAGAATGATTGCATCTTGTGATGATGAATAAGCTAATTGCCCTGATCTAACCATCACACATTGCACACAATTATTGAAAACCAACATTGTACCCCACATATATGCATATTATCATTAAAAAATAAATAAAATAGTCGTGAAAAAGACATACCAATTATTTGATAAATATATGTGTGATACACATCAAAAAATAAAAGGTCCTATAAAAATTGGAACATCAAAAAATAATTCGTTTTATTTCAGTTATTTTGCAAAATTATTTCTTGGATCATTTTTTCCTAAGAATCACATGAAAAATACACTACTTTAGAAAGCATTCAGATAAATGCAAGTTAAAATAAGAAAATACAGCTATTTCAAGCTTTCAGAGTTTCATAAAAAATTTTAATAATTTTATCAAATTGAAATAGAATTCCATTGATTAGTTTCCAATGATCAAGAGAAAATCCCCAAATATTTTTAATCTACCTCTAATCTACCATGAATTTTAAATAATAGGTTCTAGTGTTAAATGAATTTCAGAGAATATAGAAATTATTTTAAAATATTTTCTGACATTTTTAATGTAAAAATATATTACCAGAGTAAAACTAAAGTATTTCTTGATTTATTGACTTCTGGTTTTATACATATTCAACATTAAAGAAATAAAATACATAAATAACTAACACTGCATTTACTGTTATGAAGTCAGGACTGTCATTTTGCTCATCAGCCCAGCCCCAGACCCTTGCTATGGTTAAGTGTTCCATGATACCTGGCAAATGAGGGAGAAAGCACTCAATGATAGTCTCGAGGAAAAAGCTTCTGTGTATTTCAACTACTAGGCCCAATGCAAAATTAAGATAGCTCTCTCATAAAGCCAGTTATTTAACTTACCTTTCCCTAACACCAATAAGATTTCTCAGTGCATCATTTACTCAGAACTCTTAATGCCCTTGTCATAGCGTCATTACATTTTGAGGTAGTGAATTCAGTGAGGCAGAGAGGATTTTCAGTAAATGACCTACAAGTGAGTCCCAGTTCTCCTTTTATCCTGATAGCCTCCATTGGCTTTAATAAAATGAGGAAAGTAGTGGAGAAACTAAATTTTTTAGGGAAAATATTTATTAAACTTTCAGTCAACACAAATATTTCTTAGGTTATAAATTTGTTTTTTAAAGAACAAAACCTATCAACAGCCAGTTTAAATACTGACAGATCAAACAGTGTATTAATTTCTTCATTAAGTTTTATCAAGATGATACTTGTTTTGTGAATCGTCCTGATCAACTGAGAAAACTTCTGAGAGAATGTCCTACACGCCACTCTGCAGGCCAGCGAAGAGTCACCTAAAACCATTGTGGACATTCAAATAATAGATTTGTAAACACTGAGAATTTTTATTTCAGACAAATCAGCCATAAAACCTCTTTACTCATACTATTATTTTGGAGGGAAAAGATAGAAGGCAGGAAGCTTCGCTGTTTCCTAGCAGTAAGAGATTAACACCTTTACTGAGGACCATGTATTCTTGGTGGAGAGCAACACAAGTTATTTCTCATCCTTACAATAATCCTGCAAGATTGGACATGCTACACATGAGGAAACTGAGATTCCAAAATTAGAAGAAATGCTAGATTTGGGCAAAGAGTCCAAGCCACGGTTGACCTTAAGTTCTTTGATTCCATTCCTGAGCTCATTCTAACCAGAACATTCTAAGAGATAGCAGTAAAAGTATCCATATTGTCTTGCAGTAGTAACTACCACATTCTGAGTCCATTGAATTGCACTACAGCAAAAATTTTGTTTATGCTTTCATTTTTTTTCTCTTATGGATTTTGTGGTTTTTCTTTTGTTCTGTCTCTCTCTACCAGCAAATTAATTCAAAGAAGAGACAATTTCTGTAGAATCACATTCAAAAGTCTGGCAACTCAAATTTAAATGAGTTAATATTATTGATGTCACACCCCAGATCTTTTAACAGTCTTTCTTTAACCATGTTTTAGAATCACAAATAAGAATTGGAGAAACTCCCTCCCAAGTGAAAGTCTACTTTCAATCTGTCCATAGTTAAATACAGCCCAGTGACAGCTCACTCCTTCTTAGAGCAAAAGTCAACAGCACAATGAATAATATTAGTAATGTGTAATGCCATCCATATTTTATTTACTTTAATTTTATTTTAAAGTCTTTGAAGATTTCTAAAAGTAAAAATTCCTTCACTAATTTGAAATAAAACATGTGCCAAAATTAAATATAAAAGGAAAAGCCAAAAACACATATCTCAGATTGAACATGAATCAAAAGCAATGTAAACAACATTTTTTAAAGTGTGTATAGATCTAAATAAGTCAGTATATATTAGAATTACAAAAGAAAATGTATTTATAGAAATTTTGATTATGTTCTGATAGAAAAAACGTACAGACTTCATAAGCAAAAACTCTAAGTGGATGTTTTGCAACACCAGGCATTTTCTCAAAAAATCTTGATGATGTTATAAAATTTAATAGCCAA